AGCTTACTGGTCAACAGTTCTAGTTAGGCCAGAACAGGACCAAATTTTCTGCTCTCATTCCCAGTGGTTTGTCTCACTGTTCTGAGCAGCTAGAACTAAGCCATGATTTCATTGTAGTGTCCCCTCCAGGCCACTACAAGCTGCAAGTGATCACTTCAGAGGCAAGCTTTCTTCCTGCTTCCTTGCTGTAGCTCACTATTCACTTTGCTGAGGCTACTGTACACCTGACATAGCATCTACTTCTGCTCAAATCTGGGGTCAAATAAGAGAGTCCACCATCAGCTCTCTCCCTGACTCCAATAGTGATACCCAAATGGTTAGGTGGGTAATGGAAAGAAGTTCCCCAAACATGGGGACACATCATAGGACAGGGCAAGTAACAGCTACAATTAAAATTACTAACCCTGAAAGAGTTAGAGCGGGGATTATTTCTCTGTTTTTCCAATATATTTACTTTGTGAACCGAAATACATTTTGTGACAGTCTCACTGTTTTCCCTGTAGGGATACAATTAGTCAGTTCTGTTTGAGTGGGTCTTATCACAGCTGAAAGGAACAGAAAGTTTTTTTATACCCCCATACATTGAAGAGGGTGAGGAGGGGTGATCTCAGGTGTAGTACTTGAAACTACTTTTAATTGATTTTTTTAAATGGACTAGATATCAAGGGTATGCCCCTTTAATCAGCTGAACTAGTCACTAGACATTTTATTTCTACTGAGTGGCTTGAATAGAATTTAATACAAGCTGACGACAAAACCATGCCTTCTAAATTTAAAGGCTAGTTTATGTACATAATGAAATCTCTTTTTGCTTGCAAGGAACATGTTCACAAGGCTTGGGTGTCAATTACCTGATAGAAATAGTATGTATATGAAATGTTCATTGCTAGTCCGCTTCCTTTTAAGGAACAGTTACTGAAAGTAACTGTTTTACTTCGTAATTCTTATTTCTCTAACTACCCTTACACCTGGTTGTCCAGGATATAAGGAGTTTTTTGTTTTTTTTGCTTGGTGCTCAAAAGGATCATTTTAAAGTCAAGCGCACAGTACTTTAAGCTAGTGTAGGTTTCATAATGCTGTTACAAAGTTGACATGTTATCTTCCTTGCAGGCTGATGTGATATGCAGTTTTGCACGTTGTGCCATCACTAATCACCACCCATTGTTTCCTTTCGGAAGCATTAATTCCCCCAGTATCATAAGAATGGAATCCTGTTATCTCCTGGCTTCTGGGAATATAATGCATGTTACCACTTTAGCTTTCTTTCCCTTGTGAACTGTTTTCTCAAGCTTAATACTAAAATTATTAGTTTAATTAGTTTAATTTAAGAGCATTGGGACAAATTCTCTTTGTCTCTTTTGGCTTCAGTCATGTTGGACCATGAAAGAATTGGGCTTATTGGTTTCATATTTTACATCTTTGACTTTACAACTAACTTAATGCTGTTTAAAAAGGTAACTCTTGTCATTTTCTGGGCTGCTTTCAGCCTTTCTTGAATCAGAACTCTGTATAGATGTATTTATACCAATTTCCTAATATATTTACAGTGTTCTTATTTCTTTAAAGTATTGTCCAACTAATCAGAAATAGTGGGGAAGGAAAAGAGGGCAAATGAGCTATCTGTTAGTTTAAAGGCATCACTTGGCATTGCTTTCAAGATATGAGCAGCTGTGTTTTGTGCTACAACCAGATGTACACCGACTCAGTTACCAAGAAAACAAGCAGCACTAAAGGTATGAAAACTGAAAGCCAACTCTGTTTCATGTTTCCTCTATTACAATGCCCAAGAGGGCAGTGGTAGAGGATGCTTTTGCAGATTTTCTCAAAATGAATGTATATGCACACACATATTCAGAATCATGGTGTGCCTCTTTGATAAAATGGCAGAAATACACAAAAAGATTGGATGGGATGCAGTAAGACCGACTGTCTCCAAAGAGTAAATTCTTTCACCTTTATACAGACATCCATTAAGGCTTAGAAAATTATTGCACATGATCACTGTAGTCTCCAGCCATGCCAACAGGAGCTGGAATAAAGAGGAGGGCAGCACTTGTTATCCAATATTATTAACACACTAAGCTATTAGAGCAGCCCCTTTAATTGGGGTTAAGTAGCACCTGATTTGAAATACTGATGAATCAAGTACTGCATATGTAAGTCTAATCAACCATCTTTGCTAGAACATGCTGATCACTAAGGGAATGGAAACTAATTTGAAACAATAAATAAGGAAAGGAGAAAAATTGAAGGGGAAGGGCGAGGTAGCTGCCCAGCCAAGTAGCTTCCTGTCTGATCTATTGAGAGTGGCTTTTTTTAACCTTTTCTTTTTATGCTTGTCTATTTTCTTGGGCGCTTTTATACTATGTGGATTAAAGGCATCTCAGACCGTTTAGATGAGAAATACCAGTGGTCGTTATGTAAAGTGCAAATATAAGTCATCTCTGACCAAGCTGCAGCAGTGATTGCGTAAAATCAGAGATTCTATAACATCTCTCCCCACAATCTAAACTTAAAGGTAGCTGTATTGCTTTTCTGAACAACATGTAATAAACAGGCTGTCATAATTATAAGTTCAAAAGCCCTCATTGTCAAGAAGTCAGAAATATATATTGCCATCCTTGTGCACTGTGGTAAACATCATCTCCTTTCCTTTTAAAGGTAGTTGCTTTACTTTGACAGGAAAGCTGATAACATTAACACCACTCTTTCAAAGCACTATACTAGAAGGACGCTGCTCTTGCTGACAGAATTGGAGACAAAGTGGTTAAATCTCTTCCTAGTGCTTTGAAGATCTGAGAAATAGGTCCCTGACTTCAATGTACCCAACAGAAGTAAAGATGGGTCAACCTAGTGGTAACACTTTGTGATACTGTTTGGTAGACTTGAACTTGCACACATTTCTTGAGAATGCAATGCCTCTGAAGGGACATTTGAATTGTATTCCCTGTAATGAGCTCATGTGATAGTTATGACATAAACATGACTTTACTTGCCATCTTTATTCAACAGACACTTATCCATCCTCATCACCAAACAGGAATAATTACAACTACTGCCAAGCAATTAAAGAACAACTCTGATGACTTGCAAGGGGACCAGGACTTGAGGGTTAAGAGCTCAAACCTCCAGGATTCTGAGTACCTTCAGCACCCACCGAAATAAAAGCCAACATAGACCCTCAGATTAATTTGGCTCAGTTTTAATACTACTGCATCCCCCACCCAGTGGTTGTTTAACACATATCCACTAGTGATAACATCAAATGATCTCTGCTAAGTGTGAACTGAACAGGGCCAGCATTAGGAGATCTACTGCCCTAAGCAAATGCCCAGAGAGCCACTTGTACCAGATCTCAGTCACCCATGCAAAGAACTCCACAAAGTTTTGCTGCTTTTAAATGTAGCCATCAGTGGCCCTCTTGCTCAGCCTGTACAGCCAGCCCTCTGCAGGGGCATCCTTGATGTACTTTTTGTCAAGGCTGGCTGAGAGCAATTCAGAAGCAGAACTACTAAAGAAGGCTTTATATCAACTGTATGATAGTTCCATAAATGATTAGCTGTCCTGTCCCCGTCTCCCCTTCTTCCCCCCCCCCCCGGTTTTGTAAAAGAGAGTTCTAGGTTTTTTTAGCTAAGGCTTCAAATTTCCATTGAGGATGTGCCGACCTTAAATAAATCCATAACTTGGCTACGAAATACAGGGTTTTTTCCCTTTTTCATCTGACTTTTTACAGTTTCATGGTGAGAGAAAAGGGAGAGGTTTTTTCTGTGAGCTCTTTATTCCCCAATGACTCTCCATAGCATAGACCCATCCCATGAAAATAAATTAAGTCTACCACTGCTGGAGGAGTTTGTGGTAAATCATTCAACTGGGTGCATGGCAAGGTTGGTAAATGATCACTCTCTGGAGTATAGAGATGGAAGTCCTGTACTGTGGCTTAAATTGACTTTCTTGGCATAGAAAGAGTAGGCTATTTTAACAGAGGCCTTATATTAATGGCACAGTAAATGTTTTTGTTTAATCATATGAAATGTCCAGTGTAGCATGATTATCATAAAATACTGGTGTACAGCTATACACACCTTTGATTTATCTGGAAAATGATTGTCACAATCCATTCTGTCTAGGGAATTGTCTTCTGGCTCAGTTTCTTTCAGAATTACACATAAATGAGGTTCCAGTTAGTGGCAGATATTTCAATTAAGACTATATTCTTGCTCTTTAGACTTCAGTATTTAGCTCTGATGCTCTGTCCAGTAATGTCAGCTTTGCTGGTGGGACAGAAAGCTAACAGTAGAATTTTGCTTGACTGATTTGCATCATTGGAGTAAAAGTGAGTTTGAGAATATCTTACTTACAAAAATGTAGTAGAATTATGTTATCCACTTGCACCACTAGGGCACTTCTGCTATATTTTAATAAGTGCATAAAAAGATACATAGCGATGGGATATAGTAAAGTTTCTTAGGACTTTGGATGCAATGACTTCTGGTAAAAGTATTTCAAGTCACTTACTGAACTCCTTTCAATCCTATTTTCATTTCCTGCTGCTGACTTTCTCTTTTTTTCTTTCTTTCTTTGTCTATTGCAGTGGCATTAATAAACTCAGTGCTGTACTTGTCATTCAGACACTAATGTGCTAACACCTATTAATTCTTACTGTTTTGGAATTAAGCTGCTCCTGATTTCACCCATTTTTACTGGTCTAGTTCACAAAAATAAGTTCTATTATATGGAAACACAAAACACTAATTCAGGCTTTGCAACAAATAAGTGAAATATGTTTTTCAATATCACTTTGAAATAGAAGTCAGTTTAATTAATGCTAAATTATAATCTAAACCCCCAGGGCTCTTATGACACCCATATACACATTAAATAAGTTCATCATGATTAATATTATTATGTTATTTAACAATAGAATGAAACCTGATTTTACTATTTGAGAGCGTATTTATATTAAACAATCTATCTTTACCTGCTTTACTCTAATCATTGTATTATTTCCCCCAAACACAGGTTTTTGATTTTAGTCTGAGGGAAGAAGATGTGGAATTTTTAGATTCTTTGAACATCAACAAAAAACTGATTCACCTAACCTATCCAATATGGAAAGGGTAACGTCAAACCAGATTGTTCTAACCCGCAACAACCGAAACACGAATACATTTTGAACTGCACAAAACTGTTTCACATCTACATTGTTCTATTACCTTTAAAGCTCCTGTCAGTAGCTTATGATATTGATTATTATATGCACAAAGTGAATTAAATGTGGCTTAGTTTCTCTCTCTCTCTCTCTCTCTCTCTCTCTCTCTCTCTCTCACACACACACACACACACACACACACACTTCTTAATAATCTCTGATGTCCAGGTCTTTCTATAATATGTGCTTCGGATGGTTTAAGTTATTCTGCTCAACCTCACTGTATTTGAATTCAGCTGCTACTTTTTGGGACCCTGCTTCAGTCAAGACTTGGACTCATTTATACCGATTGGAGTTTTGGCCCTGCGGCCCAGATTTTCTAAGGTATTTGGGCACCTAAAGATGGAGATAGGCACATAGTGAGATTTTCAGAAGCATTTAAGGTGCCTAACTCTCATTGAAATCAATAGGAGTGAGCACCTAAGGGCTTTTGAAAGCTGCATTTTAAAAATCTAGATATCTTTAGAAATCTGACTTTAATTTCAGTGGAAGCAGGATTGTCTCCTGAATCCAGCTTTCAGTTATGGGCAAAACTCCTTTTCACTTCAGAATACTATAACGTATTCAAAATAATTTTCTTAATAAAAAAATAAAACAGTACTTAGTACATCCATCTGTGCTTTCCATGAGGGAGTAAGTAGCCCTATTCTATTTTACAGATGAAGAAACTAAGAGGTTAAGTGACTTGTGCAAGCTCATATAGCAAGTCAATCACAGAGCTGGGAATAGAACCAATATATCCTGATTTGCAATCTGGGATTCGCGCCATTGGACTATGAGCAGAGTGCTAAATTCTGATCTTTGTTACATTGGTACAAATCCAGAGAAACTACTGAAGTTGGGTGTAGTTACACCTGGTTTACAGTGGTGCAACAAAGATTAGAATCTGACTCAGAGTCTCCATTCTGTAGTTGACATTTCTCCCCTTTTAATTTCTTTTTGTAAATTCTTCCAGGACACTGCAGGCTATTCTCTGAACTCTTCCTCAGTTGGGCAAAGCTACACTGTTGGCACTCTTACAAGGACCATCAAGTCCTGACTTACTTGAAGGAACAGCCCTGATAGCTCTCATGGTGCCTGATCGCCAGTCTTCGTTTTGTCTTATTAAAGAAACACACACTTTTTGCATTCAAAGACTCAAAGGTTTGACTGCACAGATGATTGTGTGCAAAAAATTGTGGGCAGTCTGCAAAAAATGTACAGAGTGGATGGGGGGGAGTCGCACTCAGAGGCTTGCTGTGTGAAAGGAGTCACTGATGCAAAAGTTTGAGAACCATTGCTCTAACTCTGGGGTCGGCAACCTCTGGCATGCGGCTCGCCAAGGTAAGCACCCTGGCGGGCCGGGCCAGTTTATTTACCTGCTGACACTGCAGGTTCAGCCAATCGTGGCCCCCACTGGCCGCTGTTCGCCGTCCCAGGCCAATGAGGCGGCGGGAAGCGGCGCGGGCGAGGGATGTGCTGGCCGCGGCTTCCCGCCGCCCCTATTGGCCTGGGACAGCGAACCACGGCCAGTGGGGGCTGCAGTCGGCCGAACCTGCCACGTCAGCAGGTAAATAAACTGGCCCAGCCCGCCAGGGTGCTTACCCTAGCAAGCCACGTGCCAGCGGTTGCTGACCCCTGCTCTAACTACTGGATGCAGTAGTTAAACTTTCCCAGTCGCATGGTTTCCTGACACCCAACTTTTTAAGAAAACATACTGGTGAAGTGGCTGCTGTATAACAGTCCACTGCTAGACATTTAACTGGTATATCCATCCCACTGAAATTTGCTTTCTCATATATTTGAGATCCAGGAACAGTGTCCCTTTATTCTCTAATTCTGGGCTAAAGATGACCTTTCTCCTGATCTGGAACACAGGTAATTCCAGAGTAGAAAGTTCAAATGAGCCATATATATGGAATTTCAAAGATGTTAGGTTTTATAGCAGGATAATTGTGGATGTATTCAATACAGCATTCCTTCACAGTGGAGCCAGCAGTCATTTTAAATTTAGGAAACTTAAGAGATCTAACAGAAAAGTTCCCTTTCTGTCATTTACCAGGAAGAATGAAATGCTAGTATAAACTAGTTCATTAATAGACAAAAACAACAATGGTAAGTAGTGCAAATACATATTCAGGTGACCTACTGTATCCCCCTGAGAGCTTATCAGTAGCTGGAGAGAAATTTGTGGCCATTTCCTATCTGATATAAAAACTCATAATGTCTCTGTTCACACTGGTTTTGAGATGGCATTCCTTAAGTAATACATAAGCTTAAAGGTCATCATTTTCACAGTCTCATTTCTTAACAAAATTTGGGACAACTGTTATCTCAGTAGATCTTCTGAAATTTACCTGATATTAATTATACAAGAACTTAATCATCTTAATTGGCCTGCAGCTTTACTTTGACACAAAATGTTCATTTAATGTAATTTAAATTTTGGATTGGTACAATAAGGGTGTGTAGCAGGGTGGTCACCCGCTCTTGCCCGGAAGGGCTTAAAACAGCCCTGGGAGAGGGCTGGGGCAGGGGAAAAGCTGGGCTGATTGGCAGAGCAGCCGCAGCTGGGGCCATGCCCCAAACAGAGCACAGCTGGCCTTTATAAAAGGGCTGTGAGCCAGGGGCTGAAAGAGTCTCCCTCTAGCTGAGGAGGGAGATGAACCTAGCTGCCTCAGTGCTAAAGGGTACTGGAGTGAAGCAGGGCTGGGGAAAGGCCAGAGGAGTTGGGGAGCTCCGGGCCAGCAACTCCCCAGGCTGCAGGGCCTTGTACAAGGCTCCTGGAGGTACTGGGTTGCAGGGAAAGGCAGCAGGTCCAAACCTCCCTTGTCTATGATGACTGGCTTATACAGACTGCAGTCGGCCCCAGTGAAAGGGGGCTAGATGGTGACTGGCAGTAGCCCATAGGTGGAGGATAGAGGGTTGGGGGTTTCCCAGAGAGGGGAGACCCATAGAGACTGGTGGGGGTATTGCCAGGGGGAAGCCCCCGGGTAAAGGGGCACTGGGTCTGGGAGGGACACGGGGGCCAGCGGCAGCGGGACACTGGCCTGCAGAGGGCACTCCGAGGGCTGGAGAGCTAATTCCCTGGGACGACCAACAGGAGGCGCCGCAGGGGTGAGTCCCACCCCGTTACAGGGTGAAAGAAAAGAAGAAGGTCACAGCACAGCCAAAAGAAAGATATTGGCCAAACTCAGTCCTGGTGTACATGGGTGCTTCTCCTGTGATTTGCAATGGAATAGCAAGCCAGTCAGTTCAATTGTGCCTGGCTTTACAAGGGCTGATTTTGGTATAATATATGCAAAACAAAACTATTTATACTGAAAAAGTGACAGGACAGTAACACTTCATGCTGTGATTTGGAGTACCCAGGTATGGAACCAGTTTGAGATATCTTGTTCAGACCATAAAGGTGATAAACTCAGTAGATGGGGAACTCACTAGATATGCAGTCAACTCCTGCTGGCCAATTTCTGGAGCAGTAACAGAGCTGCTTGGAGATGGGCACTCATTAGTTCTTTATGCACTCTTATTATCTTAAGAGAGGAAAGTATACAGTTTAAAAGGAGTAGAATGCTAGAACCTCTGAAGGAAGGGGATTCTCCTTCTCCATATGGATTCATTATGGAGAGAACCTATCCTTGGACAAATGAGTGCACAACCGAGTTAACAAGTTCTTGCCTAGCTCTGGCTTCTTTGAAGCTCCACTTGTCTTTTCACAGTCAATTCAGGCTAGTTAAACAGCCTGTAGCAAAATCAAACCAAGAGTAGGCCTGGAGTTTGCATCCTTTCCAATACTGGATCAGCTGTTGTGACTCAGAAATAATGCTTGCATAAGGCAAAGTACTTATTCTCAGATGTCAAGATAAGAACGGGAGTTACTCAGCCTGTTCAAGAGCCAGAAACAGAAAAGTTTGGTTTTGCCTGTGCTCCTGTAGTTTGTAACCCAGTGAAATGCACCAAAAGGACTCATTAGAAAGCAGCCTTGGAAAAAGTGCAGAAGAGCAGAAGCAGAGGAAAAGGCTGGGAGAGAAGAAAAGGGGAGGCACCTGGAGGACAAAAAGATCACAAAAGAAATAGAGGAAAGATAGTGACAAATAACATGCCTCATGCCTTTTCTAGGGAGAATATCTGAAAGGGTAAGAGGATAATTCAGCCTCCATGAACCATTTCTTGTTTGACGAGCTGCCAACATGGATGTCAAGTAGGGGTGGTGGACCAACACTGATGTTGGATTTTGTGATGTGGGCACCTGATTCCTGTGAACTGGATTGAGATTACCAAGCCATTTTACATAGGCCACTGAATAGTCAGATGAGGACAACTTTCAGTCAGGACCATTTTAGGCTGGATTTTAACTGGACACCTAAAAATGAAAGCCTATGTATCTCACTACAGAGATACCCTGAGTCATCCAGTCCCCAAGTACAGCACGTTACTTTCATGTATTACTACCTCAGGGTAAGGTTACATGAGAACGTATTTCCTGAAAAGGAATACATCTAAAAAGATACTTATCTTCCACTTAGTTGACTTAATAAATAAAGGGGTGTCACTAAAATATGCAATTTGTGTATGTGAGGCAGTTACAAGGGGATGCATATGTCAACCTCAAGCATGATTTATTTTTGCATGACTTTTCTGACAGTTGCAATTTAACGGCTGTATTTTCCTCCAGTCTCAAAAACTTTCATGATTCTAGTTTTGTGGTAGAGGAGTAAATGTCTGTTTTCAAGTACAATTTTATCTGAGTCATTTAGGGAGAGGTGTGGAGCAATTGAAACATGACTATCAACATAAGTAAAACAAGATGCTCTGGTGTGTGGCACTGTTATTGCCAACTGAATTGCATATAATATTATGAAATAAAATATCTAATTTATTAAAATCTAAATACAAAGGAACATCACAATACACAATAAGATCGGGTGGGGGTAAAGAGAACAGTGCAAGGAAGAGGGAAAAGAAGGTTTCTGCATGGTTAGCCACATCGACAACCCAAGTAAGGGTTAATATTCCAAACACTACAGAATAGTATTTCTTTCAGAAGTTTAAAAGAGTGAATAAACCCCATGTAACTCTCTCTCTCTGTCACACACACACACACATTATTCTCTATCCATGGAGTATCCGCCAACTATCTCTCAACACCAGTGACTGTCACGGCCTTTTTTGTTCTAATAATAATTAATTTAAAATATTTAGCATTTTTCAAAATGAAAGTGCTTCACATCTTCAGATATTTACAAATATTAATCAATCCTCAGGATGCTC